TTTTTTTTTTAATTGTTTAATTGAAATTTTTTGGATAAAAAAATTTCTAAAAATTTTGAAATGTCAGCTAACTTCATTTTGATTATTTTTTAAGATATAAGCTCATCCTGATGTTACACTCATCGAGACCTTTCATTTGAATACCCACATCAACTTTTCATATATTTATATACATCATATATATGTATATATGAAAATTATATCAAAATGCATGTGGGTACTCAAATGAAAGCTCTTGACGAGTGAAACATCATGATGAGCTTACATCTTTAAAAGTATCAATAAGTAAGAAATGACCTTGTATCTTGTAAATTATTGACATTTTTAGGAATATAAGCTCATCTTGATGTTAGATTCATCAAGAGCTTTCATTTGAGTACCCACATGCATTTTGATATAATTTTCATATATACATATATATGATGTATATAAATATATGAAAAGTTGATGTGGGTATTCAAATGAAAGGTCTCGATGAGTGTAACATCAGGATGAGCTTATATCTTAAAAAATAATCAAAATGAAGTTAGCTGACATTTCAAAATTTTTAGAAATTTTTTGTCTAAGAAATTTTAATTAAACAAAAAAAAAATATCACTTGTGAAAAACTTGAAAAACTATAAATGCAATTTCTTAAAAATATCTTTTTAGTTGTAATTTAATTAAAAAAAAAATCAAAAATTTTTAGACGTCTGCTAACTTCAGTGTCATAAAAAATATCATAAATTGACAAAATATAACATAATTTCTTAACTATTGACATTTTCATCGATATAAGCTCACCCTGACATTACACTCATCAAGACCTTTCATTTGAGTACCAACATACAATTTCATATATTTTTCATATATATATATATATACAAAATATATAAAAAATTGATGTGGGTACTCAAATGAAAGCTCTCGACGACTATAACATCACCATGAGCTTATATCTTAAAAAACGTCAATATTTCCCAAGATACAAGCTCATTTCTTAATTATTTATCCATGCAGTCTAAACACAGCATAATAAATTAACCTTGAGAATTACCTAAAATTCCTCAAGTCTCGAAAATACTAAAAATCCAAAAAATTACAGGAATACGCCCACTTGTTCGACGAGAACCAAGACATAGCCTGGCTGGACAAGATCGACAAGCGCTACACATGGATCAAAAAGCACCTGATGGACTTCGAGCAGAAGTTCGGTTCAATCTTCCCCCTGGACTGGGAAGTATCCGAGCGCATCGCAGTCCAATTCTGCCACAACACCCGCGAGGATTTATCAAAATTAATGCAAAAGCGTCGCGTGGAGATCGACGTAAAACTCCTACTCTACGCAATCCAGCGCACTAGCAATTTCGAGAGCCTCCTCGCCAAAAGATTCACCGGCATAACTCTCAAAACCTCTTCACCCTCTTTAACATCCACCCCCTCTACTTCTCCCCCAAATCCCACAGAAGAAAGCACGAACCCCTTCGAAGAATCTTTAGAAAAAGAAGAACCCAAACCTAGTCCTTCTCCCTTTGCAAATCTAATTGGAAAATGTTTTGAACCTTACTTAAATATTTATATCGAATCTTTGGACCGTAATTTAGCAGAACTGATGGAAAAATTTGTCTTGGATTGCAAAAATCAGCCACCGGGGTCTAAAGACTTCGACGGAGTCGAAGGTCCAAGCAGTGTTTTATCATCTTGCGCTGATTTATTTGTATTTTACAAAAAATGCATGCTCCAGTGCACTCAATTAAGCACCGGGTCAATTATGTTGAACCTCTCTGAAACTTTTCAGAAATATTTACGCGAGTACGCTTTAAAATTATTGCAAAATAATTTACCTAAAATTGGAGGGGGTAGTTTAAGTCTTGGGTCCAGTATGAGCAGCATTACTCGTGACTTTAGAGATTTATCAACTGCAGGGTTGATACAAAATTTCCAGAGCTTCCTTAAGGAGGGTGAGACAACTAGATTTAGCAAAGAAGAGCAGTCTAGAATTTGCTGCATTTTAACAACAGCTGAATATTGTCTTGAAACTACTCAACAATTAGAAGAGAAGCTTAAGGAAAAAACTGATAAAAATTACGCAGAAAAAATAAATTTATCTCAAGAGCAAGACCTCTTTCACAATGTAATCTCTAATTGCATCCAATTATTAGTCCAGGATTTAGAAGCAGCTTGTGATCCAGCGCTAACTGCGATGATAAAAGTCCCCTGGGGGTCTATTGAGAGCGTAGGTGACCAGAGTGCTTACGCAAGTACGATAATTGCGCATTTAAAGCAAACTATTCCGACGATTAGAGACAGGTTGTCTTCTTGCAGGAAATATTTCACGCAATTGTGTGTAAAGTTTGTGAGCTCTTTTATTCCGAAGCTGGTACAGCAATTGTATAAATGCAAGCCTTTAAGTGCGGTTGGAGCGGAGCAATTGTTGTTGGATGTACATATGTTAAAGACGGCGTTGTTGGACTTGCCTTCTACTGGGTGCCAGGTTGCGAGAAAGGCGCCGGCTACTTATACTAAGGTTGTGGTCAAGGGTATGGCTAAAGCGGAGATGATTTTGAAGATTGTTATGAGCACTACAGAGTGTCCCAAGAGCTTTGCTGAACAGTGTAGGAGGTTGCTCCCGGAGTTGCAACTGCCGGAGTTTCAGAAGGTGCTGGAGATGAAGGGACTGAGGAAGCAGGAACAGCTTGGGTTGGTGGAAATGTTTAAGGCTACTGCGGCGGATAATCTGGAGGGTGGGGGTTTGGTGGTGGAGAGTCCGGAGCATGAAGCGGGGAAGATTAAGCGGCTGGAGAAGTTGATTAAGAAGAGGATGTAAGGAAGTTGATCTGATTTTCTTTTTTTTTTGGTTGAGATAAATGCACCAATTGGGGGTTTTTTTTTAGATGTTTTAAAGAATGATTGGTTTTTTTGAAGATATAAGCTCATCTTGATGTTAAACTAGTCGAGAGCTTTCATTTGAGTACCCACATGCATTTTTGGTATATTTTTGATATATACATATATATAATATATATAAATATATGAAATTTATGGAAAATTGATGTGGGTACTCAAATGAAAGGTCTTGAGGAGTGTAACTTCGGGATGAGCTTATATCTTTAAAAATGTCAATGATTAAGAAATTATGTTGGATTTTGTGAGCTTATGATATTTTTAAAGATATAAGCTCATTCCGATGTTACACTCATCAAGACCCTTCATTTGAATACCCACATCATTTTTCAGATATTTATATATATCATATATATGTATATATGAAAAATATATCAAAAATGGATGTGGGTACTCAAATAAAAGGTCTCGATGAGTATAACATCAAAATGAGCTTATATCTTAAAAAATATTAATATTTCACAAGATATAAGGTAATTTCTTAATTATTGACATTTTTAAAGATATAAGCTCATTCCGATGTTACACTCATCAAGACCTTTCAATTGAGTACTCACACCAATTTTTCATATATTTTGTATATTTATATATATTAAATATATGTATATATGAAAAATATATAAAAAAAAAGCATGTGGGTACTCAAATGAAAGCTCTTGATGAATATAACATTGGGATGAGCTTATATCTTTAAAAATGTCAATAGTTAAGGAAGTACAGTGCAATTTAACAGAAATTAGGATTTCTAAATTTTCAAGATTACCCAATTTTTTGTTCTACTTAATTAATTAATCTTTTGAGAAACAAATTTAATGCTTTTTAATAATAGTTTCTTAAGTTTAATAATTAATTTAGTTTATATTCTGTGTACTAATTATTTTATAATCAATAAACATTCAGTTGAATGTAAATATCCGATGTTAATTTTCAATACTTAATTTATTACTAAATTGAATGTTTAATTTTCTTAGTTTAACAAAATAACTAAATATCAGCTATTAATTTGAGTGCTTATCTAACAAATATAGTTATTAATATTGTAATTATTAAATAAGATTTAAAATAAAATAGGGTGTCACTAATTGGTATTGTAACCTTATGTAGAAAAATTAAATATTTTTAAATTAAAATTTTATTAATTGACATTTTACGAGGATCTTTTTAGAAAAAAAAAAAAAAAAAAAAAAAAAATTAAAAAAAATTTGTAATTGATAAATAAAAAAGCGATATTTAAAATTTTTTTTCGTTTTTTATTTATTTTGTATCAACAAACTCGCTTAGTAATTTAAACTTGTTTCTGGGCGAGTTCCTTAGCCTTAGCCTTTTCCAATTTAGCGATTCTGGCAGCAGATTTGCTACCAAGAAGACCACCACCCCAGTGACGTCTGATCTCGTCGTAGCGGTCGTTGAAGTTGGTCTTGATTGCTTCGACAACCTTAGCGAAGTTGGCACGGTCAGCAGAGTCAACCTGGAATTATTTACAAAAAAATTAATTAATTAGAAAAGAATTTTTATAATGATAAATTTTGAATTTTAGTTTTAAAAATCAGTTAAAATGAAATAGGTTTGTTATCATAGACCATCATTGGATTGGCTCTATTTTGATCATCATGTAAATTTTGATACTGTAAGTAATTTTATTAATTAATTAAAAATAAAAATTACCTGAGTAAGAGCGACAGCAGTGCAGGTCTTGCGTCTTACAAGACGTCCCAATCGTGATTTGCCTTTTACAATACAGTATGGTACTCCCATTTTCCTGCAAAGAGCTGGCAAGAACAGGACGATCTGTAAAATAAATAAAATAAAATTTATTATTCAAGTGTTTAGTAAAATATTTTTGATAATTTTTAGAATTTTTATTTAGATTCAGAGTCATGTGACATCCTCTGACAAAATTATCATTTTCGTTATTTTGTCTCAGGTGAAGAAATTCATTACATCATTCATTAAAATTTTCTTTTTTAATAAAAAATTATTTAATTATTATTTTTGTAGTCTAAAAATTTTTGTAAAAAATTATTTAATTTTTTACTTTGATAAATTATGAAAAAAAAATTAATTTAATTCTGCTAAATCAGGTTCTGGATATTGAAAAATTAATTACCTCAATGGGGTCAACATCGTGGGCAATGACAACAAGTTGAGCTTTCTTCTGTTCAACCAAAGTTGTTACGGCGTTGCTTCCACTTCTGAGCATGTTGGGGCGCTTGGTTGGAGTGTCTTCCTTCTTGGCGACTTTTTCCTCAGCACGCGCCTTCAACCTCAACTTCTTGGCTAAGACAGACTCTGGTCTGTATTTCTCCAAGATTTTGAACAACTGGCTGGCTGTAGAAAATTTATTATTTAGTATTTTTTTATTTATTCCAATAAATGGAAATTAGCATGATGATTTTAAATTTAAGGTAATTTTAAATATTTAGTAAAATAATTATTTTAGCAATTTAAAAAAAAATATCAGAAATTAATCATCGTTAAATATCAATTAAAAAATGTACTTGAAAAGTTTGATAATTGGCAAAATCAGCAGACATTTGATAATATTTATAATAAAAGTTTGGAAAATCCAAAAGTGCACGCCTCATAATCTCATTTTTCACAATAAAATTGATTAAAATAAAATATAAAAAGCAAAATAATAAAAAACAGAAAACTCTGCTATGGTTTAGTGGCGCCATAACTCTAAGGTGAGGAAAAAAAATACTATAATAAAATGTATAGATAGATATACAAAAAAATCCACAGTCATATATTAGTTTTTTATAAATAATAATTTAACGACAGTGAATTGAACGCTCATATTAATTAGGAAAATCCTTCGTGTGTTACTTTAGATAATAAAAAAAAAATTGTTCCGGTACGATCATTTTCTCGACCAATTTCCCTGCCACATACACTCATCCATACACGGACGTCCAGAAAAAATTATGTTAAATGTTATTATTTACTATGTTAAACAAAAAAATTGTTATTGAAATATATTTTATGTGCCTGACAAATTATTCGACTTGATATAAGTGTACTCATATTAACCTGTAAGTGCGATATAAATAACAAAAAATCAATTTCAGTTTCGAGAAAACTGCTTTTTTTGAAATGTCGAGAGTAGAGTACAACCTCAACGCTTCGCTTATGAGGCGTGCAATATAATTATGGTAGAAAAAAATTAGTCCAAATTTTTGTTATAAAATTATTATAATACTGAAATTAACCGACGTTTACAAATTTATTCTTTTTCTTCAATTAATTAAATTAAAAATTTTATAATATTTTTAAAAAAATTGTATTTATAATTTCTCAAATCTTCTAAATGTGAAATTTCTTCAATTTATTATTTTGTAATAAAGATCTTAAAAATTGTCAGATATTTATTTGCTAATATAATTTTCATAAGTAATTATTTTTTTTGATCAATTAAATTAAAAGTAAAAAAAAAAATACTTAGCAAAAAATTGAAAAGATAATTTATCAAATTTTTAACTTGGGAATATTTTTCTTATAAATTTTTTAATGATAGTCAATTTTTGATGATAAGTATTTAAACTGCATTCAAAAATGCTCTATCTCTAGATACATATTAAAAAAATGACCTTGTATCTCGTGAACTATTGACATTTTTAAAGATATAAGCTCATCCCGATGTTACACTCATTGAGACCTTTCATTTGAGTACCCACATCATTTTTTCATATATTTATATATATTATATATATATATACATATGAAAAATATATAAAAAATGTATGTGGGTACTCAAATGAAAGCTCTCGAT